GATGATTACTATCTTATGCTGCTGATGATGATGATGATGATATATGTATGTCATCAAGCATATGAAATGCTTTGAAACAGCTGATGATATAAATTGTCGTCTATTATCATGCAACAATGAAAGCTTTCTTCTTTTAAGCGATATTTTTAAGTAAATTATTCTAGAAGTTTGTAGATTATTGTGATTCTGACGGGGTGGGTGCTTGACTGGAGGATATGATTAACATATTTTAATTTTATTGGGAACTTTTTAATGACATTAGCTGAGTTCAATGAGTTAAGATGTTTCGAATATTCCGATCACCTTGTTGTGCGGAAAACAAATCATATAAACGTGAATCAGGGCGAAACCATCCCCCCCCCCCCCAACTTAAACGTTTTGAACCGCAACGAGAGCACGGCCTAAAACGCTTAAGAGGGGGGACAAGACCCTCCTGGCTACGCGCCTGACGTGAATTAAATCATAATCCTTATCAAATTTGACATCACTAAGTTCACTGGTTTTCTAGAGCTCCTAAGGGAATCCTAATCTGGAAATATGAATCACACTTTGGGGTTTAAATATAATTTGTTTTTGACTAAGGATTATACCTCGTGCAGCCCTAGTAACTAGCTGCAGAGGCTGTTCTTAAAGTAATCAATCGTGTCAAAGTTAAAGTTTGCAGGATTTTGATTTTGAATTTTCGATTAGACTACCCCAAATGCCTAGCTAGACAAGCATTTTATCAATTATTTCTAAACTTTACTATTTACAGCTTATTGCTTCTTCATATGCAATCCTAGACTCAACTAAGGAGAAAAGATTCCAAACTAGATGTTTTTGCTCTTGACAAAAGATCAGCTTTTAAACTCAAAGGAACTCAACCCCAATTCAATTAAAAACTGCGCCTTAACCCCACACATCCACACGAAAAAAGAAACTCCATCAAATCATTTTCTTCCATAAAAAAATTTCATCATGCATAGCTAGAAATTCCCTTGGAAGCAATAAATGCTCACTTTAGTCTGTAGTACTCACAATGTCACGCTATTGATAATGATGTGTCGTGTCTCTTACTCACTCACTCGTGTTCCTTTTTGAAAGTATGAAAAATGCTTGTAATTTTATCATTAAATAGCGTCTCACACTTTGCAAAACTGACATTAAGAGCATTTTCATGAATGAATGAGTGAATGTATGTATGTATGTATGTGAGAAATGAGAAGTTTGATAACCGCATAATGATCGCATATTTTTCATTTTTTAGCGCAAATACTTTTGAGAATCATTTCCATAATTTTATTTTTCAAGTTTCTTCCGTGCACCATGCAATGCTAAATTTATATATATATTTTTTAAATTGATTCGAATGTCGACAAAGAGGAGTCACACGTGTGAGACATGTAATTATGTCAAGCTTTTATGAATTTTTAATTATTTGTTAGCTGCTTGTCATGATTCCATTTTAGGACAGCTTTTCTAAAAAGTGATTCTATCGTGTTTTATTTTGATAGCTACAAAGACCTTTGAATATTGATTTGATGATGTCAGTGACTTGACTTGACTTGGATGATTACTTTCAATTCTCTTTATGCTTTGTAATTTTGTGCAATTTTTATTTAGACTGTGGGGAATTTTTGAGGGTGTCTGGGTGAGGTTGTTAGCTTTTTCTAATGTTTTGATTACAAAATTTGAAATTTAAGTGAATTTTAATAATCATAAATCATGATGGATGCACACCAGATGGATCAAACGTCTCAGATCAGATTCAAATTGATGAAAAATAAAGAAAACTTCAAGAAGCAAGCTTCAAACCCTTCCATCACCATAAAAAGTTCATTCTTCATTCAAATCCCGTAAATTGAATTTATCATAATTTTTCATATCAGAATGCGCGCATCATACTTAAATTGAATTTAATATTCTCGTGTCATATTATGCCTACAATATGAAGAGATAAAAAAAATCTCTAAATTGATTCGAGTCAAAACAAACAATTAAAGTTTCTCTCCCACGTCTCAATTCAATGATGTCGGATATGATTTGAATGCCTCCTGCTTTGATATTTTTCTTTTCCTTATTCAAAAATTGGATTGGCATTTTTTGGCAGGTACAATAATAAATGATATTGAGATCGGATGATATAGAGCTTAATCAGACATATTCGCAGATCCAAGGGTGTGGATAGAGGAGGGTCTTAATTGGTGTATTGAGATTTAGTTTCTTGAATTTTAAAGAGTTTTTTAGGATTTTCAAAAAAAATAATAATAATTTATTACCTTCGTAAAATAATTGACAGCCACAACTTCGACAATTTTACAGTAACATTTCTTTTAATAGAATTATTCCTTACCCTAGCCTTACCCTAGTCAAGTGTCTAGTGTCATTGAGGGTCATAAAGCTGTAATCATCCTCAAGTCCTACCAATATTGAATTTCTTATTAACTTCCTATCCTAAAATATTTGATCAAATAATTCAAAGCTTTGAAATCAACACAGTTGGGACCCTTAATAAAATCACAAAAAAACTATCAAGAACAAGCCCAAATGGCACAATTCGGTTAATCAAATAGAAATCCGGCGACAAGAAATCATAGTTCTGACATGATACCGATTTCAATTTAAATCCAGCACCATGTCAGAGTCACACTAGCTCGGTACCGAATTTCTGTTCAATTAGCCGACCTGTGCCATTCGGGAAGGTTTGAATATAAAAATAACATTCTTCATAGATTTTTGTATCACTTCATTTCTTTTAAATAAAATTCATTGTCGATCAATTAAGGGCAATGAGAAGAAATTGTGGTTAATGAAATTTTTCATGGCTAATAGAAATGAACTACACTCACTTTCTGTTTAATTTATCTACCCTTAATTGATGTCACAGAAAAAAATGATTAAATAGTGTCAATTTAAATGAATTGTAAAAAGTATTTTGTTTTGATGAACTTTGGCATTAAAAATTAAGATCAATAGAAATGTTTTTACGTTGCTTTGCAAATGAAAAGGTTCAGTGATTTTTTTCAAGGTACCTAGTAAATTATTGGTATGATACCTTCTTTATAATGCCAATAGAAATTATTATTATTTATTTATTATTTATTTGTCGACATTACCGTCCGGAAGAATTAGTATTTATACATGTTTTTACTTTTTACATTGATTAGTGATACATTTCATATCACTATGGGTGACGTAGAATCAAGCTTCTAATCTTCAAATCTAGGTTTCAAATAAACTAAGGCTCTCGTTTCAATCTTCTGTGGGCGTGACGTGATACATTTCAGGTCCGTTCTGACAATATTCCATTATAAGGTAATCTTGTAGCTCTCGTTCCTATTTCTCCCGCTACACTTCAAGTTCCTGATCCGTTCCTTAATCCAACGTTGCCCAAAATGCCCAATTATGGCTTGATCTCGTACATTAAGCAGTCGAAGTATCTAAACTTCTGAAAAAGAACAAATTTGGAAATGGCTGGATTCGAACCGCCGACCTTCGAGTTACCATACCAAATTTGAGTCAAGCGCCTTACCTATTCGACCAGCAAGGCACTTAACTGCTAATCTCAATTGGTTGACTAGTCCATCGGACTCCTAATGAACAAATTCTTTACTGACTTCTATTAGTTTCATATGCAATGATTTGAAAAAGAATCAAAAATCCAGTAACTTTACCAAAGTTTTCTTAAAGACCCGATCACATCACCATTAAATTTCAATTTCAATCTCATTCCTGTCTCACAATAATATCCCATCACCATACAGTAATTCATTATTTATTGGAAAAATATTCAGAAAAGTAAAAAATGTAATGCTGTAACAGAGAAATGGAAAGAAGGGAGGAATGAATGAAAAGAGAAAAAAAAATAAAGAAAAATTGACATTTTTTTGGTAAAACGAAAGCAAACAAAAGGAATAAAAATAAAAGAAAAGCAAGCAAAACTTAAATGATTGTGTAACATTTGGCGTGATTGTGAACTTTATGAATGTTACATTTCGTCGACAGGACATTGTATTTTTCGATATGAAAAGAATGGAACATAAAAATGAGAAAGAAGGAATTGGCATTTATTTCATTTCATTTTTCATTTCTGCTAGTAATATGGAGAAGGTCTCTCGACTCGTTGTTGGTTTGAAATATAGAGAAAGGACAGCATAGGAAATTTATTTTTATTACATGACATATAGAAGTAACATGAATGTCATGTGTCCTTATAAAATAATAAGAAAGTTGCCGTATGGAAATGCTCAAGGTTGTGACTTGATAACGCTTTTGTTCTATTGTGGATGGCATTTTTATCACATTAGGAAGATGTTAGAAGTTTTTTGAAGGGGTTTGAGATTATTTTGCTTACAAAAACTCTAGTAAATTCACATCCAGGAAGAGGGAAAGGGGATTCGACCTATACCGATATGACCTATTCCTTTAAGATATGAATTAAAATTGACTGTGGTAAAGTAAGTCGATTCAACCAAACAATTTAAGAGAAACCATTGATCACAATTGTTCTGAACGGCAACGAAGTAATCAGGTGGCCTTACAAATCGGTCTGAATACTATTGCGACATTCTGATAGTCCATCCAACAGCTCATCCCCAAAAAATTCACATTAAAACGATCAAAACAAATGAGTAAAGGAACTATTCAGGAAGTCCAAAAAAATATGCAAGAAATCCATAAAAATTTATGGAAGTAAATATGCAGAGGTAATCATACAGTCAGCAATGAGCATTGACTATGGCAAAATTGAATATCCAAAATTGTAATAAGTTGTCAATATCCATCGTAAGCTTAATTCTTTCACCAATGTCCATTTACAATAACATCGAACATGAACTTCACATTGACAAATGTCATTCACTAGTTTAACATTTAAAGTCACGACATTGAAATTTCTCCTGCATGCTTAATTCTAAATCTTTAATAATTTCAATTTATTCATATATGGTCAATAAAGCACAATGATATCTACTTAACATTTTTCATTATTTTAATATCAACACTCAAAATGTCCATTACAGATTTTAATGACAGGCGCAATCTTACTGCTTGCATGTTCGGCTGGCATGCCTATTGGGTAAGTCATTTCATTTCCTATTTTTATTATTATTTCTGGTGATATCATGCAATGTCACGAAAGCTTTTGTCTGTGACATTTATCGATATCAACAGCAGTTGGTGCAGAACTTTTACTTTTTAATTTTGAAATGTCAGGAACTGGTTTTCTGCCTTTTTTGAAATGAGGGTGAATTTTGTTGACTTATTTTGTGGAGAAATAGGAATTAGAAATGTCAAATTTTATTTTGATAACTTAAACTTTTGTAAACTGGATTGCAAAGGCTGTCTTTATTTTCTGATTTTTTGGCCCCTCATCCCAAACCTTCCCTTGAGTTCATGCTTCAATCCAATGATAAACCAGTTGAATTTTAAAATTCACAAATCATCAAAAACCCCAATCCCCATCAACAATTTCAAAAATTTACACAAAATTAGCATTAAACCTTCATAATCTAATTAAAATTCAAGCGAAATCCCGTCAATATGATTGAAACTTTGGAATTAATTTACCAAAAATCAAAATCCTGCAGTTCGGCTAATGAAAATTTCATTTTTAATTACTTAATTCCATCTAATTTGCATATGATGTAAATGATAGAATCGACTATGCCACTATACATGTTACATCCATTTTCACAATAATTACTTTTAAAGAATCTGATTTTGCCATCCATTTTTGTAGCTTCCTGCATGCAACTATATGTCGATAAAAGAATATAAAATTTAATTTTATGTCAATATTGACATTCGACCATATCAGCAATAATATAGATGGACTTTTAATGCACTGACTGCTGATGACGGAAATTGCATTCATGAAATTAAATTTTTGCCATTTTCATTCAACGAAAATTGGACTTTGTGTTTTGCATAAAATGTTGACTGGAAATAAAATTGGATTTAATGTTAACTTAATTCTTTCTTTAAAAGGTATTCGGTCGTTATTCTACCTCAATTGGTAAACCATCCGTCAGATGATTTAGCAATGGACTATGAAATGGCGAGTTGGGTTGGTAAGTGAAAACAAAATTCTCCCCTTCAAAAGATTCAATTTATATGTTAAGATTGTGGAGTTTAATGGATCATCGTTTGCTTCATGCTGTTTAAATAAACATTTTAAGGTTAAATCGTTACAAAAACTTAAATTAAAGATCCTCTTACATTAATAGATTGTGTGATGAATCATTTAAAGATTAAAATTCAATTCTTAAAGGTACAAGATTAACGTTGTTGGCTGCTCATAAAGCTATAGAAGTAAGAGAAAATTGAGGTTATGTGACTCCAAAAAAAAAAATTTTTGAAACAAATTTCTTGAAATAATGCTCAAAATTAAAGTGATCAAAATATTGAATAATCATTAGAAAAAAATAAACCTTTAGAGTCTTAAATCCAATTTCTATAGCTACCCATCCTTAGTCACATTCAGTCTTCAAAAAGTATTCATAAACCTGAGTTAAGCGAGGTAAAAGTTCCTTCAATTTGCAAGGGTCAATTAAGAAAAAAACCCAATCCCCAAAAGTTCTGTTCATTCAATAATGCTTCAGCTCCCATCATAAGTCAGATTGCCAGCATCTTAACAACCCCTCAAAAATCTACTTCTTATAAAATTTAAAAAAAAAATCTCTCAAAGAGCATTAAGTAGATCCTTATCCCATTAAGTGAGATTTAATGTCCGAACAAATTGTGTACAAAGAAGTTAATTTAATTACTTTAAAAGTGTATGAGGGAGAAAGTTGCCTTTCTATCCTATCAACAAGATTGCTTTCACTCTTCAACCGTAATTTTCTAATAAAGTGTTATGTTACACCTAATAATAGCATTCTTCCTATCCTTCCTCAACATCATTCACTTTATTTCAATCCACACACAATTTTTTTTTTCACCTGTTTGTTTTTAATCTATTCTCTTGAACAATAGCATCAATACATTCGCTTGCAACACCGATGGGATCGTTGGTATCAACGCCTATAATGAATGCATATGGAAGAAAAAATACACTGCTCTTATCAATTATGCCATTATTGTGTGGATGGAGCATAATTGCACTATCGACTAGTCATTTGGCTATTCTTGTTGGACGAGTGGCGTGCGGCATTGCTGTTGGATTAATGGCTGCTCCTTCACAGGTGAGAGGATAAACAATTATTATCTGGATTTGGTGATTTTTCGAGAGGTTGTTGGGTATTTTGGAGGAATCTTTTGATGATTTAAGCTTATTGAGTGATGTCCATCATTAAGATGAGACTAAGTTTGACCTGAATATTTCTGAAAGGGGTCTGTAATTTTAAACAAAGACGAAAATATTTTTTAAAGCTATTTAATTTTATTAAATTAACTCAATGCATTGAAAATAAATCTTAAACTTAAATATTAGCAATCAAACGAGTATTTAGAAACATTCATTAACTTGATAGGCAGCAAGTGATCCTTGGCACTTGTTCTTCCATCCGTACCAAGCGTTGTAGCCATGTCGCTTATAAATGATTTTTGTGCATGCAATATCGTCACTAATATTGTCATCAACCAGTTCTATATTTAATGAAAATATATTTTAAAATTATGTTATTAAAAGGTTAAGCCAGGAAAGCAATTTGATGCTAAACTCCCGCATTCAATTATTTTTTTAAAACTATACTTACGATTGCAATTCATGTTACAGTCACCGCCTTTGTAACCAACTTTGCACCAATATTTATCATTAATTTGGAAAATACCCCAGTCGTATGATCCATTACTGTTTGGTCCTCCTTTGACTCTTGAATTAAAGTTGCTTTCAGATTTTACAAGACATACCCAGTTGGGTAATGATGCCCTTGAAAATCCAGCATTAGACATGGCTCTAGCGAATTCGCATTTTGAGAAGACTTTAGCTTCTGAATTGTTGATTAAAACAATAGCGAAAATTGTAATTGCGACTAAGTACTTCATAGTTTATTTTGATAGTTTTTACGAACTTAGTTTAAATGTAGCGTTGAATTTTTGACTTGAGATAATTTCCCTTTGAATTATTCTTGTTGAATGTGATACAAAAGCTTGATTTTGATTCAGTTTTATACCAACTTATTACAAAACATTGCAAAGAGTTATCAGCAGTGCTATAAAGATAAGAATATTTCTTTGTGCAACTTCACGTGTGTGAAATACTTTTCGCTAATATTTTGACCGATGTGCTTACTATTCTTGGAGAGATTGTGTTGTTTAGTTCATTTAATGATTTATTAACCTATTTTTTTGTTTACCAATTTCAATTGCTTAATTTTAAAATTGGTTTATCTATTTTTGATTATTTTTTACACATGCAAAAAGTTGTTGACAAGGTTTTGTAATTTTTAATTGAGTTGAATATCTGTTGAATTCATTTGTATAGGCCGGTTTATAATAATTTATAATATAATATATCAATAATAATTTAATTAGATGTTTAGTTGAACTCTACCGAATCTTCAAGTGTTTATTGCTGTGTGGTGTTTTATTTTCTGTTATAACAATAAGGTAGCGCGTGTTAAACGTTGTTTTCGAAGAACAACAAGCCGCATAAATCTTACAAATAATTGTTTGATGTAAACAATCTTTAAAGATCTATTTGTCGAGTTAGATAGCAAAAACGAAGATTTCTGACGCATTTACAGACATTATTTTAGAAATTTATTTTTTGGTAAATTCAAAACTGTTTTTTAAAATTTTAACATTAAAACAATTTTGAATTTTTTGATCAATCAATTGAATTTGCTTTAAGTAAAACTAAAAGTATTATTTTCCTGCAAATACGTATTTATTCATATAAGTTGCTTATCTGTTTCATAATAATATAGTCATACTACTTTTCTGCTCAAAGCTTACGAAAATAAATCTTAAAAAAATTTCACCTTAAAGCTATGCAATACAAAATTTCAAAATTCTCCAGGACCATTTTCTTTACAATCATGTTCTGAAATTGTAAATCAAGCTTAATTCTTATCTGATTTCTCTTTTAAATCCAGAGTCACTTAATTGTACATCCTAATGTCAGTGCACGTGAACCCGAATAGAAATCCATTACCAAACCCACATGACTCTGGCATGGTGCTGGCTACGCTTTAAATCCAGCACCATGCCAGAGTCACAACAGCTAGGTGCCGGATTTTTAATTGATTAACCGACTTGTGCTTTTTGGGGAATTTATAATTTTTTCTATGAACAGACTTAAATACAAGTTTTGAATATTTGATTTGGTTCGAAAGGCGTAAATAATTAGTCAACAAAAAATTAGGTTAATAAATTATCAAACGATTAGTAGCAAAATAAGTATTTCACACTCGTAAAGTTGCACAATGGAATATTCTTATCTATATTGTACAGTTGATAACTCTTTGCAATGTTTTGTAATATTTTAGCATATAAAGTGGATCAAAATCAAGCTTTTGTATCACATTCAACAAGAATATTTCAAAGGGAAATTATCTCAAGTCAAAAATTCAAAGCTTCATTTAAAATAAATTCGTGAAAACTACCCGAACATACAAAGAAGGCCATCACTCGGAGTGATGACGAGAGTGATGACAATCACTTAGGAACTCACTGACTACCATCACAGTGAGTACAACAATGATGCCCATCACTCTCGTCATCACTACTGTACTCACTAAAACTAAAATTTTTCTAATGTCAAATTTTTTGTAACTACAATCATAATGGTAATCACAACTGCCATCAGTGATGGCCATCAAAAAAAAAAACTTGAAACAAAAAATGATTACAATCACGATGGCAATCACGACTATCATCACTGATTGCCATCACTTGATGACCAGAAAAATTTTTGTTAAAAAATGTTTGATTACAATCACGATGGCAATCACGACTATCATCACTGATTGCCATCACTTGATGACCAGAAAAATTTTTGTTAAAAAATGTTTGATTACAATCACGAAGGCAATCACGACTATCATCACTGATTGCCATCGCTTGATGACCAGAAAAATTTTTGTTAAAAAATGTTTGATTACAATCACGAAGGCAATCACGACTATCATCACTGATTGCCATCGCTTGATGACCAGAAAAATTTTTGTTAAAAAATGTTTGATTACAATCACGAAGGCAATCACGACTATCATCACTGATTGCCATCGCTTGATGACCAGAAAAATTTTTGTTAAAAAACGTTTGATTACAATCACGAAGGCAATCACGACTATCATCACTGATTGCCATCACTTGATGACCAAAAAAATTTTTGTTAAAAAATGTTTGATTACAATCACGAAGGCAATCACGACTATCATCACTGATTGCCATCACTTGATGACCAGAAAAATTTTTGTTAAAAAATGTTTGATTACAATCACGAAGGCAATCACGACTATCATCACTGATTGCCATCGCTTGATGACCAGAAAAATTTTTGTTAAAAAATGTTTGATTACAATCACGAAGGCAATCACGACTATCATCACTGATTGCCATCGCTTGATGACCAGAAAAATTTTTGTTAAAAAATGTTTGATTACAATCACGAAGGCAATCACGACTATCATCACTGATTGCCATCACTTGATGACCAGAAAAATTTTTGTTAAAAAATGTTTGATTACAATCACGAAGGCAATCACGACTATCATCACTGATTGCCATCGCTTGATGACCAGAAAAATTTTTGTTAAAAAATGTTTGATTACAATCACGAAGGCAATCACGACTATCATCACTGATTGCCATCACTTGATGACCAGAAAAATTTTTGTTAAAAAATGTTTGATTACAATCACGAAGGCAATCACGACTATCATCACTGATTGCCATCACTTGATGACCAGAAAAATTTTTGTTAAAAAATGTTTGATTACAATCACGAAGGCAATCACGACTATCATCACTGATTGCCATCGCTTGATGACCAGAAAAATTTTTGTTAAAAAATGTTTGATTACAATCACGAAGGCAATCACGACTATCATCACTGATTGCCATCGCTTGATGACCAGAAAAATTTTTGTTAAAAAATGTTTGATTACAATCACGAAGGCAATCACGACTATCATCACTGATTGCCATCACTTGATGACCAGAAAATTTTTTTGTTAAAAAATGTTTGATTAAGAACCGGTAGAAAATACGCTTCAAAACAGACAAGGTATTACAGAAGAAAACATATCTTAATATCTGAAGACGAAGATGAAGGTGATCAAAATATTACAAGTGGGCATTCAAATGAAGCATTTGGTACTCAAACAGAAGATACGCATGCAGAAACCTCTGAGCCAATGGAAACACACGAAGAGGAGTCTAATTTAACTGATTACGCGAGCAGTTTGGACTTTGATTCAGATTGCGACATTGACATAAATGATAGTAGCGATGATATGGAAAGTTTATATGATTCAGAGGACTTTGAAGCAGATGAACAAACCAGACCAGATTTAAAAAACGATTTGATGTCATGGTATTTGAAAAATGACTGTATAAGTAAGAACGCAATGGGATCCCTGTTAAAAATTTTAAAACCGCATCTTAAAAATCCTCACGAGCTTCCAGTTGATGCCCGAACATTTTTAAAAACATTTGATAAAGTGGAAATGAAGAAAGTTTCTGGAGGAGATACTGTTTATTTGGGAATTGAGCGCATTATAAACTTTTTCATAAGAAGCAAAATTCAATTGCCGGAGGAATTAATATTCGATATTAACATTGACGGTGTTGAAGTTTTTGTAAATCCATACACTAAAAGGACAATGTGGCCTGTTCTCTGTGTTTTCAGGAATATCAAGGGGTTTGAAAAAATGGTGTTTCCTATTTCTTTCTACTGTGGAAGTCAAAAACCAACTACATTGGATTTTCTGGACACATTCATAAATGAATACCAATTAATGGACCAAAATTATTAATGGAAAAACAGTTTTATTTCTATATCACTGCTATAATAAATGTTGGCTACCATCATTTTCGGTATTACTGACTGTAATTACTCATGGTAGTCAGTGATGGTAATCAGTGATGGTAATCAGTGATGGTAATCAGTGATGGTAATCAGTGATGGCACTGAGTACATATGATAAAAAGTTAATTAAGTTAACTAATAATCTGATGAAGTTAGAAGAAAGAATCGAAAAAATTATTGCAAGTTTATAAGAAAATTTCAAACCATTTATACATGCCAATTTGCCATATAAAAAATATTAATTTATTACAGACATTGGCTTAGAGGATAAGTGAGCGGTACAACAACGAAGAGCGATCTGGAGGGCGTGAGTTCGAATCTCGGCGAAAGCGGAAAAATTTTAAGTATATAAAATTTAATCTAATCATTACTAATAAATCTTAATGTTTAATTCTAGCAATCTTAGTACAAAAAGATCCTCTAAGCCAATAAACAGTCATAACAAGTTCCTTAGGATTAATTAAAAAATATTTTTTTAAACTTTTTTATGGCAATCACTGGTTGCCATCACTGATGACCATCATAATTGTCATCAGTGATGGCAATCAGTTATTACAATCACTGATGGTAATTACTGACTACAATCATAATTTTCATCAATGATGGCAGTCATGATAGTCATCAGTGATTGCGTATTATCAAAAGCGCACTATCTGTGTGTGTCATCACTGATGGTAATCGTGATGACCATCAGTGATGGCAATCACAAGGGTAAAGTAGCGGACTCACTAAAATGTATGTGAGTGAGTACAGTCAAATACAGGCCATCACTGGCTTGAGTGATGGTAGTTATGATTGCCATCTTTGTATGTTCGGGCTATCAAAATAAATTATGAAGTTCATAATCGCAATTACAATTTTGGCTTTAGTCATAATCAACAATTCAGAAGCTAAAGTCTTCACAAAATGTGAATTCGCTAGAACTATGCTGAATGCTGGATTTTCAAAGGCATCATTACCAAACTGGGTTTGCCTTGTAAAAGCTGAAAGTAGTTTCAATTCTAGACTCAGAGGTCCAAAAAATCCTAATGGATCACACGACTATGGTATTTTCCAAATTAATGACAAATATTGGTGCAAAGTTGGCTCTAAAGGTGGAGACTGTAATATGAATTGTAATAGTAAGTATTCTATTGTCTTAAGTCATTCTGATTTAAAAGTAAATCACACAAAATATATTGAATTTTAAAGGTTTTATCGATGACAATATTAGTGACGATATTGCATGCACAAAAATCATTTATAAACGACATGGATACAACGCTTGGTACGGATGGAAGAACAAGTGCCAAGGATCACTTGCTGCTTACCAAGTTAATGAATGTTTCTAAATACTCGTTTGGTTACTAATATGTTAAGTTTAAGATTTATTTTTATTATTATTTAATGCATTTAGTTGATTTAATAAAGTTAATTAGTTGTGCGTATAAAGACATGGATTATTTTAGAATGACTTACTGCAGAATTGAAAGTAATATTGGAGATTGAATAACAATTCTTTTCCTAGAAGTTATGCAATTAACTTATTTCAGTTTATATGCAACCCTAATTGCTAAGGATTTCTCAGAGAGAGAAAATCTCAAAGAGAAGCTTAATTTTCATTTGATAATCTTTTTAATTCTCAATTTAATTTATCACAATTTACAACTGCCTTTAAATAAAGAACTTTCAACTTGTAGAAAACGTTCACAATCTTCTTCATCAAATCTGAAAAATAAATCATTTAATTTCTGAAGTTACTGGATGTTTGGATCCAGTAATTAAAAATCTGAAAATTTATGAGATTAAGTGAAGCAGTTTTTTATTATTTTTAATATGTACAGTACAGAAAGTCAATGTCATTTATTAAAATATAATTGATAAATGATTTTTTTTGAAAACTTAGAAACATTCTGTGACTTGATATGCATCGAGAGATCCTTGACACTTGCTCTTCCATGCGTTCCATGCTGAAAAATAAAAAAAAAAAGATAAGCCTCTCGAGCACTGAACACATAATTGATGAAGCAGTTTCAAGTATCAAAACACCAAATTCATGTTCATCAATGTAATTTTATTTTACCAGTAAATCCATGTCGTGCGTAAACAATCTTTGAACATGCAATGTCATCAGTAAGATCATCGTCGACCAATTCTGCAAAAAAATTATTTCAATTTTTCATCCATAAAAATAATTTAAGCACTTACTGTTGCAGTCCATGTTACAATCGTTTCCTACATATCCAACCTTACACCAATATCCATCATTGATTTGAAAAATTCCCCAGTCAAATGATCCGTTTGTGTTTGGACCACCAACAACATTTGAATTTAAGGCACTTTCATGAATTGCAAGGCAAACCCAGTCTGGTAAATGTTCCATTGGATAACCAGAATCATACATTATTCTAGCAAATTCACATTTTGTATAAACTTTTGCACTAGCACTGCTAATTAAAGCTACAGAAAGAACAAGAGCGACTAGGAGTTTCATTTTTAAGCACTTCAGTTACTGATACACAATCTCAAATACTAGAAAAATTGCTATTTTTGTTCTGTTTTATACAAAAAATTTAATCAATAAAGACTGTTATCAAGTAAACCTGCAAAGCTCTCCAACGGCTAAGATAATCGGTGAATAACATCCAATATACAGCTTCAGATGTATTGAGAAGTATTATTTTTACGTTTTTTGGAGTAAATAATAGATTTGGATCATTTTAAGCGTGAACGTTTGTGGATTAAATATTTTGGGAATTCTGAAGCAGAATTGGGATACAAGTCACCTGTCAATAGGCACAGGTGACAGATCTGTCACAAGCAACTACCTGTAATTGGCAGATTTTTCTTGCCGGCCACAGGCAATTACCTTGGAACGCCTTTTGTTGTAACCTAAGCTCCTTATACGAACATGGTTACAGTAAGTAAGTAAGTACAGGCAATTGCCTGTCAGAGATCTGTCATACCAATAAACAGATTTGACAGGTCTGTAAATCTGGTAAAAAATATTGCCTGTCACAGATAATGACGTTAAAGTGATGTCTTTGTGGTCTAATTAAAGACTGGAATTCTTGTATCCAATACCAAAAAAATTACAGGCATTTAAATCATTCCAAAGAGCAGTGCTACTTGAAATTTGCTCCATGGCATAACAACTTGTGGCTAAATTGATTATATTTTCACTAACTTAGTCTAGTTTCAGCGAATCATAGCTTTGAAAAGTTTGAGAACCACTATGTTACAGTATCATGGATGTTGTGGATGTGACAAAGGATTTGTGCTATTTTCACGACATTCCTACGTTTACTGAATATCTCCATGAAGGTTCAATAACTGTTCGAAAACTGAAATAATAAACCATGAAGATGAGCTTATCCAGAACTTCTAGTTAATTTAAAACACAGCCTCCTCAAACATTGGTTTTTAAATTAAATTTTTATCAAAGCTTAATAAGTCCAGATGTTTAAAAAAATTCAAATTATAAAAATGAAGCACCCCAAAAAATTAAATAAAAATTTTAACACATCCTGCCCGCAATTTTATTTAAAAATATTCAATTTTGCCTTTATCTTATCAAAATTCACCCAATATTCTCAACAAAAAAAAATCTCTTCTCACATTATGCCTATAATGCTGCCCATCACCTTTTACCTTTTTACCTCACTTTGTAATTTCTTATTTACTTCTTTTATTATTTTCAATTTTGTTTATTGCTTTTCACAGATTTTGCTGGCTGAAATTTCTCAGGCTAATTTAAGAGGTAACTTTCAATATTAAACATTATTTTCTTACCTTTTTGTGCTTGGTGTATTATGACACGTTCTAATAACGTCCGAGCTGTACAATGAAGATAATTTGATGAATTGGAGGTTGCTGTGAGTGCTAAACTAGAGTTATGATAAGCAGAGTGATGATAGAGTCATTACAACCCTAGTGACTTAATCCATCGCCCAAAAAAATGCAATTTTATTAACTCACACTCCAAACTTCGACTATCTATAAAATAAAGCAAAGCTTATCCTTGCTTCATGTACAGCTCGGAACAAATTTATAAACAAAAAGAATAAGAAAAGTTAATTAACATACAAATGTTTCACTTTACCTTTTTTTTCCTCTTCATCATCTACACTCTGTATTTTTTTTATGTATGCTGCTCATAATACCAAAAAAAAAGGTATTTTAGTTGGAATCCCATTTGTATCATACTCGTGCGGCATCATGTTTGTGTATGGCATGGGCAGTATTTTAAATTGGCGAACAGTTGCATGGTGTGCTATAGTGATGCCAATTTTTTCATTTATTGCAATCGCACTTGCTCCCGAGTCACCAAATTGGTTAGCGAGGAAGGGATATTATGAAAAAGCAAAGAAAGGTAAGGATTATGAATTTTTTTTTGTGGGGAAGAGGTTGGGGTTGGGAAATTAAATTTATTTTATTTTTGTGTTTTAATTATGCGGTGATTTTATAATTTTGTAGATTGATCTGTCAGTTGGGCTGTTCTTTCCACTAGAAAATTATTTAGAATTTAATATCTTTTAAGGGTTTTTAATCGTCATTCTTTGAAATTTAAAGTCTGAATCTATTCTAGTGCGATTTCTAAAGCTCCTCAGAGTACTCTTCTCTAGACAAAATAAAATTTGGTGGAAATATATTCATTCCTAGCTTAAGTTGCCGTAAGGAGCGCTAGAAACCGGTCCCTAATTTATCTCACTGACCTAGCTAGTCAGACTCTCTTAGAACTCACCAAAACGCCTGACTGTTTGGAACTAAGACCCCCCCCCCCCCTTTTGACCCTATCTTCATCCCAAAACTGATATCATCAACGACAGAAAGCCAAATAAGCCACAGATCTTGTTAGGTTCCTTATAATTTAACTAAGGAATTAACTTAAAATCAATGAAATGTCGTCAAACTTCAGCAGACTAAATTTCTAGTAATCCATAAAGCAAAAAAATAAAAAAAATTTCAATTTACATAGAAACTTAAAATGTCTCATTTTCTCTTTTTCCCCCGTCTACTTAGCACTACAATGGCTTCGTGACTCCGATGAGACAGCAAGACTCGAGTTAAAGCAGACAATTGAGCATATTGAGAATGAAAAAAATAATCGAAGCCTTAAAAGTCAATCGGTATGGAGTACCATCAAACAGCCGTCAGTATTGAAGCCAATAATCCTAATTAATGCATTTAACATGCTACAAATCCTATCGGGAACGTATTTGATTGTATTTTATGCCGTCGACATTATCACAGAGATTTGTAATTTTGGCGATGACGATACAGCGCAAATCTCAACAATGCAGTCGGCCGTACTCACTGCCTTAATACGATTACTATTAACGATGGTTTACTGCTATTTATTATTAAAGTGGAAACGTAGAAATTTGTATATATCATCGTGCCTATTTTCAGCCATTTCAAGTCTGACATTGTCAATGTTTTTGTTCTATAAAGGCAACTCGACCAAATCTTTTAATGATTTAATCATCATTGGTGTATTGATGCTCCTCTACATATCAGCTAATACATGCTCAATGTTAATGCCAGGAGTTATGGTCGGTGAACTGCTTCCATTGCGTGTACGACATTGGAGCGGAATGGTCTTTACAGCATTTAATCTCATGTTGTTTATTGTAACTAAAATATTTCCATGGCTCAAAATTGTCATTAAGACACAGGGTCTCTTTCTCATGTTTGGATGTTCGAGTTTTTGTGCCTTTCTACTATTTATTTGGCTTTTACCCGAGACAAAGGATAAAACATTAAATGACATTGAGGATTACTATCAAGAACAAAATTGGATTTGGCAGAGTCGAGTGAGGAAGACGACGAATGGAAGTGATCAATCTTGAAGGATATTGTCGTGTATGTGTGTGGATTAGTTTTTGTGGATTCATCGATGGATGGATGGAAATAAATGAAAAGGAAATTGGTGCTAAATAAAATTGACATTCAATGTCTTCTTTATCGATAGTTAAGGATGTCCTCAACGCACACACACAGCATATATCATTAATTTTTATTTTCAAGGCACAAAAAGAGACTCACAAGCATTTTTTTGTAGTTGGTATTTGTAAATAGATGTAAGATAAATAACTTTTTTTTGAACTGGGTAGTTCGTTCTATTTATTTATTGGAAGTCATTCTTATTAATGATGATCATGATGTACATAAGCTGATATATTTTTTAATAAAAGACATTTTTTTACATTAATTAAGTTTTTTTATTAAATAATTCGTGATAATTTTTATTTTTAATATTATTCAGAATCGGGACTTTCATATATTATTTTAGATTTTCAGGGGAGGGGGAGTCTAGGATTATGCAAAAGATTAAAAAAACCAATGGTGCAATTAATTACATTTTTATCATTTCTGATATGATTTTTGATCAGTTCCATACACTTTCCCTAACTGACAAGTGAGTATACTCATGGAACCGTAATATGGAAATATGTTCAGAATATACTCTTGAGTATGTGACTGTACCATGAGTATACTCATTTGTCTGTTTGAATTCAAATGCGAAGGGCGATTGATTGTCAAAATATTAGTTTTAATCTATCTTAATCATTGAGCGACCCACTTTTCAGATGGTACAAAAGGGCACGTTCGAGTACCAAAATTTAGATTTATAATCTAGTAAGTAATCAACTAACATAACAATGATGAGATAGGGTTCCAGCCAAGCATAATGATGATTTGGAGGCACTGCGATCCTGATCGAAGATAGAATCTATTGTACCAATATAACAAAAACATGACGAAATCAATTCTTGACACTAATTTGCTTACAAATGAGGATTTTGCATTACTCTGACCACAATTTTAATTATCTGACGCAATCAGTTGAAATTGTATTAAAAAATATATAAAATAGAATGTAAAGAGCATTTTTTATTCATTAAGTCTTTGTGCGAGGAATAGATCAGATGCAAAGAGCAATTAAAATATAAAATTGAGTGAATAAATATTTTTACAAACATTAAAGGAAGTAAGTATCAAATTTAAACCACAAAATATTCAAAATAATGTCTGTTATCTCTATTAATGAAGCGTTGAACGTTATTGTAATGCCTTTAAAAAATAAAGTTGTCTTTTTTTTTCTTGACTTGATCTAATAAATGTATTACTTTTTACAGAACTCATCACAATAAATCATGAATGACGAAACTGTAATAAGTCATAAGCTGAGTCTCTACCCTTTAGCTGGAGAGTACATAGCAACACTTGATTATCAACCTACAATCAAAAATAAAACATGCCAAAAAATTGAAACAATTGTAATTCTTGATAGATCCGGCTCAATGGGACAGTCTGTGACTAGAATTGGAACTAAAATCTTGCCATTATTCTTTCAAAAATTAAATTATGATTTTAACGAGAAAATTCACTTGATTACTTTTGATCATATGGCTGATTACACGTATTTGGAGATACATGAATTGCCTAACTTGTCTGGATTTACTGCACGCGGTGGAACTAACATGAGTACTGGAATTAAAACCTTTCATGAAATTGTAAAGAAGCTAGCTGCAGAAAGAACAAAATTTCTTCGTATTTTGACAATTTCAGATGGTGAAGTGGTTGATGGTCCACAAACAATTGAAGAAGCTGAGAAAGTTACTGAGTTTTTGAATGACTACGAAATCACAATCAGTTCGAAAACTGTCAGATGGTTTACAAGCTCAAGTCAACCAGACACAACTGCTCTTTGCTGCCTGATGCAATTGAATAATATTCTAGACTCTAAATTGTTGGATATAACATATAATGTAAGTTTTGAAGAAGCTGCATCAGCTTGGGCTTCTTTATTCGTAAATGATGGAATGTTTAACGTAACTCATATATCTTGTGAAGCTCCAACCTTCCTGAAATATCCATGGGATTCAGATGCTTTGGATTCACTCCTCTTAGTACCTGGAAAGAACACATTCTGGTTGAAAAACGTTCCAGAAAATTTGAAGATTGAAAATCATCCCGTTGACATTGAAATTCATGACTCGATTTCTTATCACTACCTTCAAAACTTACTTGCCGATAAGGTTGACCTCATCATTAGTAGATTGAAAATTTTGAAGATTGTTGAATCATCTAAGGCATCAGAAACAATTAATAAAATCCAGGCATACTTTAAAAAAATTGAAAATGAAGTTCCTGAACCTGAGTTGGAAATGCCTAGTGACGATAAAACTTTGAAGAATCGCATCAAGTTGATCAAGTTCAGATCTGGTAAACAGAGCATTTCAACAATATTATCGGAAATCGCAAATGACAATATGGTCCACAAGTTGAATTCAGCACAAAAGGCTGCCTACTTAAGACAAACAATGGTCACAAAAGACAGCAAGAGTTTAGCAAGACGATCAGCCAAATGTACAGGGGAACTCGATTTTGATGAGATTGCAAGGAAAGAGGCACTAAATATTGCTGAGAATTTCCATGAAATTGCTGACATTGACGATTCAGGACATGAAATTTCATTCTATTCACAAGCAACAACATTAGAAGGCATCAGAACTCTCATAGAATTCACAAAGGATGAAGCTTTTAAGAATGCATCAGTTCTTGAGATTCTTGAGCTTTTAAACATTGTTGGTGTGGCATGCAATGGACCAGTTAGGAATTATCCAGATCCATCCACATGGTTTATTAAGAACATTTATCCAAGCTGTTTTGTCAGTTTAGCAGACATCCTCTCAGTCCTCAATCAATGTGAAGACAATAAACTCCTGGTTCCAGCATATGATGATGAAATCACCAATTCGATTCCAATTTTTGATGATCCAAGAATTGGAAAGTTTTTGAAGCGCTATGCACGATCCTTACTAGATTTTACATTCTCAATTGGAATGCGACAGATGATTGCTGAAGTTCCAAAAACTGTAGATTATACGATGATTGCTGGTGTTCGTTGCATGATTGATTTGATCAGTAAGGATAAGGCATCGAAAAATCTCGATATTTTCAAGAATATAGTTGCATCTGTTGAAAACTTTGCTGGTAAATTTGATGTTGATGAGCTTTTGGTTGCTCAACAGTGTGGACTGAATGGATATTTCTTAGATAACAGTGGCATTTCTGAGATGATTGTTCCATTTATTCGAGTGATTCGACAAAATAATCCAGAAGTTGGGGATCAATTGCCAGCGATGCTTCGATCAATATTTGACTATGAAATCTGGTTGAATATCCGACGAAGCTATAAAGGAATAGACTCTGGTAAAAAACTAATTGAGGATATGATGATTATATTGCTTGAAATTGACGTTGAGAAGCATAAAATCAATGCAGATGAACCAGCACCATCGCCTTTAGTTTATTATGACAGTTTTGAAATCAACTCAACTTATGTGAAGGAACTGACAGAAAACTTCAAGCATCTGAATATTGTTGCATCAATTCCTGTTTATTTAAATGCTGTTATAAATGGAACTTTAGATGACATGAAAACTATTCCTGCTTTGGATACAAACTCATTCTTGAATGCTTTAGACATCAATTACAGTTATGATGAATACATGTTCTTTAATGTCTTTCAAGCTTTGGTTTACACAACAAAGCTGGAACGTTGCGATACTGAAAACAAAACAATGAAAATCATTGACTTAAAGAACTATGAAGAGGCTGTGGAGGATGTTAAGTCTTATGTGAGAAGGTTCTTTAAAAAACAACACAATATTGATTTGGCTCGAATAAGAAAAATAAATGCGATTTATCTGGTAGATCCAAAATATTCAGATGTTAACGAACAGCGATACCTGATGCGGATTCAAAAAGATCCTGATTTTGCTAAAATGGCTGTCAAGAAAATCATAGAAGCAACAAATTACGATGGTATGATTGAAGCATGGAGAAATGGAATTGAATTAAATGAAAGAGGATTTAGAGTTGTTGGAACTGGAAGTTTTGGATTTCGAATGTTAAAGATGGCATTAGGCACTTTTACTCTGGATATTCCAATGCGATCTGAAATTATTAGAACCATTTTATTGGGAGTTGATAGACAAAATAAAGAAGTATGGAATAAAGGAAAACCTTACTTAATTGGGAGAAAAGTGTTGCAATACTATAAAACTGCATTTACAAACAATAGCTCAAATGAAGAGTGGACTAAACTTTACAAAGAATGGGATCATCTTTTCAAGTTGCATAACGGAGGAAGTTAAACTTTCAACTATTCTGCATAAAGCTGTAAGATTTTATCGATATAAAGTAATAAAATACAATATAACTTTTAGATCTCCCTATAACTGCCATATGTGTATACTAATGAAAAACAAGTCGATTTTGATGGGAATCGACCTTAAATGAGGCGATCTCTGACCACTCGATCAGAGCTCCCTGCCACTCGGCCACTGAGGTAATTATCGCACTTCGACTATCCGTCATACACATATGACCAGTTGCAACACCAGCCCTATGCTCAGGAAGTTTTTGAATCTTTTTGGGATATGTGGGATAAATATGATATTTGGGAAAGTTTCTATGCCTTAGATTTTTCTAAAATAACATAATAAATTTTAAGAAGGGGTTTAACCGTGCCCTAGGTACACCCCAGATTATTTTTTGTATGTTTCTATTCATTATTTTGGAGTTCAATGATTCGAAAAATGTGTTTGCAATAAATCTCTTGCTTAGTAGTTTTTCATGCAGCTGTATTTGTGTGTTTATCCTTTTTCGAACTTAAAAGCAAGACAAAAATTTTGTGTTTGAAAACGTAAAAGTTTGCCTTTTTGTGGCAGCATGAAAAAAAAACTCAAAACCAATGAATATACTTAAAGACTTTATAAGTAGGCTGTCCATCCGTTTTGCCGATTTTTCAGGCTAGGTTTAAAAAAGCGAGGATATCTGCTCAATTTTTTCAAAAAATATCTGGTCATCCTAGACATTAAGGATTTTAAGCAAAAGTGCGCAGTAGTACAGCCTATTTATAAGCAATAACTAAAAGACCCATAAAATAAATTTTATGAGAATGAGGAACAGCAATAAGTTGTCTGAAGATGAAAATTTTTTAATATCTAACCTGTATCTAACTCGAAATGAGAAAGGAAAAGTTTTGCTGCAAAAACAAATAACAAAAGATCTAAATGATTTTAAAGCTTGGTTCTGTTGGTTTTAAAAATAGTAAATTTAATGAAAATATTAAGGATAAATTATGAGAATGGACAAATTTACAGTTCATTTCAAAAACATCAGAAAGGTTTCAATTATGATTTTTGGAGGTAAAGAAAATAAAATAATTATTTTTAGAAAAAGGTTAAAAACTAGCATGTGGATAAGTTCTCACAGTCGAGAGAGTTTAATGGTAGGACTATTTTTGGAAATTTAATTTTTAATGGGAATTATTTTTAATAATTTTTTGTGTGATCTTAATGATCTTATGACTTATGATCTTTGGTATGATTGTTAATGGAATAGGCAATATCTTGCAGTTTACCCAGAATATTCTTTATTTTATCAGTTCTAATTTTAGTTCTCATTACACAACTATAGTAAAGTCTGTAAAGTTCAGTACTAATACTTGAAATGGTTACCAAAATGCTTTAAAGACAAAAAAAATTAAAAAATGGTTCAAGCCGATAAAAACCGTCTTCCTTTTTTGATAAAATGTCTTTTAACTTATTTACTTCTCATTCCCTTGGCTGGAATGAACGTGGAACAATTGAAACACTTAAATCAATGTTGTAGTTCTGAACTTACTTACTTCGCTGGCCGTACATATCAATTGTGATCCATGGCCTCTCTTAGATGGTGTCTGAAGCTGGCTCTATCGCTGACTACCGTTTGCCAATTACCAATGCCAAATGCAGCTTCTTTCTAAGAGTTTTTGGGATGCCCGCGTGATCTTTTGCCACCTCATACATATTCTTAAATACTTTATTAATGGGAGCTTCAACAGGTCTCCTAAAGATATGTCAAGCCCAACGGAGCCTGTTGACTTTGATTCGTCGTACGATATCAGCTTCATTGAAAAGCTGATATAATTCTGCGTTTTGAAAAACTACCTATTTTTGGGATTTTTAATATTTTTCCACGGCACACCTAAGGATGTCCTACGGCAGTTTGGACAACACTGACTTAGATCGTCAAAAGACAGCCTTATAGATATAAAGGAATCTATCATCCAAAACAATATCTTATTCAATCAAAAACCTCACAAAAAATAAATATTCGAACCTTCAAAGAATATGAAGATATGCAGCAAAAAATAAGTATTTGAATAATTATGTTAATCAGCATTATTATTCCAAAGGTACGAACGATATCTACATGTGAAAGAGAAAAAATGAACCCACAAAGTGAACACAACAGAGAGATGAAAATTATTATTTTGAATAACTTTTGATATATCACAAAATTTAGGAATAATAAATTTATTTATGCACACACGCATTGTGAGGGTTGCTTTGAAGGATATGGAATAGCAAAAATGACATAATTTATGAACTCCTCTCGTTGCTTCATACAATAATATTGGATGAATGAATCACTCAAGAGTTTACCTTAAACTTGAAACTATCTTTTTGTGCTCTTCTGATCTCTCTTTTACTTTTGAAGATTTTCTTCTTCTTTTATTTGCAGTAATGCATCTTGCCTTTGTACCTAGCGCATCTATCTATCAGTGAAAAGTATCTATAATGCATACACCATGATATTAACATTTCACAAAGCACTTGAAGTAAATAAAGTAGTTGGAAAAGCTTGAAGGAATTTATTGGGGATCATTATGATATTTTGTAACAATAGTTTATTTTCAAAAAATTTCTAGCAAATTGAAAATTGGGGTTTGATCTCAATTAACTTCTGAATAGGTCCTTAATTAAGGACAGTTGGCTTGAACATATGCAAAAGTTATGTAATTTGATAGCTTAAATTTTAAGAACTCCAGTTTCTGTTTAATCTTACAATCATCCTTTAATCTTAGATTTTATACTGAATTCCATGTCCTGAAAATGTATTGCAGACTTTTGACTCATCAAATCAATGGCCTTGATCTTGACTCTTCGTTAAGTTAAAAATACTTGAACCCAAGGCTCCCGCAGATATTTGATACAAAGATTATTAAACAGAGCTTGAAGTCGATGAAATTTTGTATGGAGTCAAAAGTATGGACTCGAAGTACATCATTTTGTATGGACTCGAAGTCAAAATTGATGAAAATCTCGAGTCGACTTCGAGCTCTGTTATTGAAGATTGTAATCTTTGTAAGGGATTATTTAAAGATTATAATCTGCGGGAGCCTTGTTTGAACCTAGTTATTTATAACCTGTTAAAATGTGTTACTTAACTGATGTGTATACAAAACATATCCTATAAGACAAACCATTCGCATCATCAGAACTCCTCTACCCCTCTTCCTCTAAAACTTTTCATAAAATGCGCTAAAAAAAATCATAAAGTCATAAAGGCAAAGTTGAGAACAGAAACTGAAGAAAAGTAAACAGAAAAAAAAACAATAAAAAGGGATTTAATTTTAAAGTTAAAAAATAAAGAAGAAAAGACTGAAAGAAGCTCAAAGCCCCTCCAATCTACTTTGTTGTTGCTCTGTTACTGTTTGCAATTCTTGTTTGTACATCACCGACGAGGAAAAAAAAAAAAACTTTTTTTCATCCACAATGTCTTGTAAGAATTTTTTTCATTCTTCTTCCTCCTTCCATCGTACAATCTCTTTAAGTTGGTAATAATCCAAACAATAAACATCTAATATTATTGGAAATAAGGCTACAAAAAGCGTCTTTATGGTTGTGCTGTAAATCGCTGAACATTTTGTTCATTACATCTTTAAAGAAAGATTTTGACTGGAACTGTATCATTTTTTGTTGTGTATTGTTCTTCCGGTTTTATAGTCGGGTATGAAAAAGAAGTCGTTTGGCATGATCATAAATTTGTGGTTTACGCATTATTACGTGAAATGACCTGAATATTTAGTGGAATGGAAGATGTTTTAGAGGATTTTGTCTGATTATTTGTGAATTAAGTTGGATTTGATTTGCTTGGTTTTTTGGATTCCTATTTAGGTCCTTTGGAAGGCCTTTTTTTGACTGAAAAGTATTTTGTTATTATTTTTTCTTTTATTTTTAGGAGGGTTTTTGTTGTTGGAAGGCTTTTTGTTGTAACCTAAGCTCCAGTTAAGAACATGATAACAGGAAGTAAGTTTATGTCTTTGTGCTTGTAGTTGCTTTATGCTTGATAATTTTTGAAACTCTTTAATTGTAATCCCTATATCATAGTCCCCACCACTAGCTGCATCATTATCAATTAACACCCATTAACCCAAAAATTCCCAATTGCATACAAAAGAATCAGGCTCGTAGCCAGAGGGGGAGGGGGGCACTTGGGGGACAAATCCCCGTTCGTCTTGAGAAATTTCTTCATTTCATTTTGCTAGAGTTTTTATGAAGTTGAGAGAGTTTATGAAGAATTACCCCCCCCTTAAAGTTTTCCATCCAAAAAAAAATTTGCCCACCCCCCCCTCTTCAAATTCCTGGCTACGCCCCTGCAAAGAATCTTCAAAAAAAATCAAAATATCAGACAAAATCTCCTTAACGTATGCCTTTCAACAAGAAGTCAAGCAAAAAGAGAATTTTTAATTCACATTCACGATGATTTAAAAGCTCTCAGGTCAATTTCTAGTCTAATGCAAAGTAACCTAAAGACTTTTACACATCTAAAATTATTTTTTACATTCACGTACAAGGAGCATAAGCAGCAGCTACACATAAGTAGCACCTCATTATTTAAGAACTTTTCAATTTAACTCTCCTGCCTTTGCTACCTTTTCCTCCTCTCTATCATGAGATTGGATCGTATGATAGCCTTTGGCTACTTTCAGTCCTCTATTTTATATTCTCTATTACTTTTATTCATTTTTTTGCTGCTTCTCGAGCCGTAGAAGTAGCACACATGTTGACTTTCCTTTCAACTATTTTCCATACTGATGGTATCATGTATGTGTAGTTTAACACATTGTAGATATCCTTTAGCATCGAGTAGGTAGTTTTATTTATGGTTTTCTTATATTACTGAATGCTGACTGTTTCCATGGAAAGGTTATGAGTTATGGAAGCATGATTGAGAGACGTTTAGAGCGCATTTTTAAGGGGGGTGACATTAAAGTTCGTTTATTTTTGGAATTAAACTTGAAGTTAATAGTCAAGCAAAGAATTCACTGTTAAAATGTTGGAATATTGTAACAGTCCATGTCTTGGGGTCGTTCATAAATGATGTTTATATTTTGAGGAGGCTTCATTGTGTGACACTTTCATGCAAATTGAAAATTTTGCTCCAAAGCGAATAAGAGGTTTTAAAAATTCTCATTTTCGACAAACGTCATTTATGATTGACCTCAAAACTCGTCAGTAATTTGACTCATACCTACAATAAATTGCTTCATTCCAATATAAAACTTTGCATAAATTTTCCTTTTATTTCTATCCAATATTTTTTTTATCAGAAAATCCTTTTATTTCTATATTTTCTAATAAGCCATATGCAAAAAGCCCCTACTAATGAAGTGATTCATAATTCATGATGTTACCATGGCTTTGAATCACTTAACATATCCCCCTTCATACCATTCATGACTCTCCCACACTTTTTTGTTCTTTTATGATTTTTAAAATGCTTCCTTTCAACTCTGTTGTACCTTATTTCCTTTTCATCATGACATGCTCTTATGGTTGAAAAAGTTTTCA